TCCAAAGGGAATAACACTTCCACTAGTGGACACAACAATGATTCTTCCTAAAACTTGAGACTGCCTGCCGGCCACTTGGGTTTGTCATGCCACTGAATCAACAGGCGAAGAGAGTGGTTACTTTAATTCATTGGGATGACTGATACTGATCATTAAGGGAAAATAATGCTGCTAGTACACAAAAGGGATAAGGAAGAGTATTTCTGGAATGCAAAGATAAACATCATCCAAAGATTTTTAAAAGTGTGTGTCAGGGGTGGATTTTGTATCCTTTTTTGGGGAAAGGGATGTGTGTTTGAGGTTGTATATGGCATAGCTGTGTCATGGTCAGTGGAAACATGAAGCTGCTACTGTCTTTATTTGAAAATTAAATACAGTTTAAGAAGATATGCATAGGTTCCAAGTTGAGGAAGGAGGGACTGGGGTGGTTTTGTTTTAGATTTGGGTAGGGCACAAAACAGACTCAGCTTTGAGACTGAGGGAGGCAGCAAAGCATCAGTCACTTTGTAGCTGACACCCATTGTCACTGCTATGCTGACTCACCTCCTTGGTGTGAGGCAGCAACTGGGCTGCAACTGCCCCACTTCCCCTGGGTCCCCCTTAGCTCCTCCAATTCCTGGGCCTGAGCTACGTGTTGAGTTCATGATGAAGGACCCAGCTAATGCATGACACTCATACCGTTAAAGTCAGAGGCAACCAAAACCAACATGGGTTTCAGCCTGTCCTCATGGGCTTATTCTTTGGATTCCGGATCTTGTTCTTCACACATTACATCTGCCTTCTCTTTCCAAATAAATGCTTGTCCTGCCTTGCAGAGATTGCACCACAATTGCATAAGGTCAAATCCCTGTAACAAATCCTTATAAATGTAATATAAGCATAAACATATGTGCATGTATATGAAAAGCAGACTTAGTGGGATATATATATATAATATAATATATATATTATATTATATATATATCACATATGTCATATCTATATATAAAATAGATAAACATATATATCCTGGTGGTTTTATTATTAGACCATGACTGATAGATGATACAAAGTAGATCCTCTTGTCATAATGGAATTAATCTAAAAATCCATAACAGAATGATTACAGGAAAATCACCAAAACACTAAGAAATTAAACGGCACACTTTTAGATCATAGCAAAAAGAAGAAGTCTCAAAGGACATTAGAAAAGGTAAATGTTGAACATCAAATATACCACATTTTTCATACTACTCTATAGCACCTAGAATGTATTAATACATTCTCAATTAACTGAAGGATATCTTAGGTGGGGTTCCCCGGAAGCAGAGCCTGAGACAGGAATTCTTTTGCAAATGATTTATTGGAGGAGCATTCAGGAGGAAGGGATTAAGGAAGCAAGGGGACAGGAGAAATCAGGGAAAGAGGCAACAGAGCTACCCTTACCAGGAGCCCACTGGTGTCTTTGGAGCATGTATGGCACCAGTTAACCCTGCTTCAGACAAGGGGCCCTGGCCTTTACAGGATCATGCAGTCAATAGCTACAGGCCAAGGAGGGGGCTGTTTCCAGACATCTCTGGGATAGCCAATTCCCTTGGGCAGAGGTCAGTCTTCTGGAGAAAGGGGAGCCCTGAGTCATTAGCAGTCAACACTTAAGAGTAGTTGGGGACTTGGGGGGCCTGGGTGGCTCAGTCAGTTGAGTGTCCAACTTCGGCTCAGGTCATGATCTCACGGTTCATGGGTTCAAGCCCCGCATTGGGCTCTGTGCTGATAGCTCAGAGCCTGGAGCCTGCTTCGGATTCTGTGTCTCCTTCTCTCTCTGCCCCTCCCCTGATAGCGCTCTGCCTCTCTCTCTCAAAAATAAATAAACATTGAAAAAAAATTAAAAAAATAAATAAAGAGTAGTTGGGGGCTGGTTGTCCTAGCCTAATAAAAGGGGTCGGTCTGGACAGGGCATCAGCAGCACCCGTTAAAAACCTATTAAAAAGGGTTTCCAAAGAGATTTATTTGTTGTGAGACCTTTAATCCATTTTCTTGTATTTTGAGACAGAGAGGCATGATCCTTCACTAAGGTGTCTGAGCATATAAATAGCATTTTAAAACATGGTTTCCTTCTACTATCACAAAAAACAACTAGAAAAAATTCTAACAAGAGAGCTGCTGTGCAATGGGAACCACAAGAAACCTGTCTTTACATTAGACACACGCCTAAGGAAACAGTGAGATATGTGCAGTGTCACCCGAACCAGGCAGGAGCCAGAACTTGTCTTCCAGCTCTGCCACTTAATCACCCTGTGACTTTAGTGAGTCATTTGTCTTTTCAGAATCTGTGTCTTCAGCTGTGAGATCAGAATAATCACACCAATGCTCCCTACTTCCTAGGAAGTTGTGAGAGAGAACTGAAATATACATACGGAGGGTGCTCCGAAGCCTGAGGTTTTGCTAACTGTAAGCTTTGAGTACCAAGTTTGAAAACACCCACACAGATGACTGGGTTGCTGAACAACTGTTGATCCTTCCCCAAAGGCCGAGGTTGAAGAAACCACAGAGAGGAAACTGAGAACTTCTCTGGGTGGGGGTGGTTTGAACTTGGGAGTCTGAAGGTGGGGGCAGGGTGGTCCGGGAAGGAGGCCCACCAGCTCAGCTTGGTGGAGAAAAGGGAAAACAGGAGGGGAAACGGGCTCTGCACTGGCTCCACCCTTGCCATCACCTTGGGCCACACAGTGAGTGCCTTCAGACCTCAGCTCCAGGGGTCCCCAGCACTAGTGCCCGAGTTTGAAAGGTCAGTACTTGGAAACTGAGAACTATAGGTGGAACTAACTGACCTCAGGTGGTTGTTTTCCCACCTCTCTTCCCCTTCAAACCCCTGCTGCACTCTACCTCGGGCTCTCCCACCCCCATCCTGCCCTGTTACCTGCGCTTGAGGGTTCTGAACTTGTTCCAATTGCGCTGCCCCACTGCTCTGGGTATTCTTGCATACATCTCCGTTTGCACATCGCCGTAGTTTCTGTTGAGTGTGTGCTTAGGCGTGGAATTGCTGAGTGCTTAGGGTATCTGAATGCTCAACTTAGGTAGATAATGCCAAACTATTACCACCAAAGTCATTACCCCAGTTTATACTCCTACCAGCAACTTGCAAGAGATCCCGAAGATCCGCCTCTTCTTCAGTATTTCATATTGTCAGTAGTGCTGTTCATAACAGGAAAAACCTGGAAACACACAGATGCTCCCAGCAGTTGAGTAGATTAATAAGCTATGACCTATTTTCAGAGCAGAATATAATACAGCACTCAAAAATGATGAACCACAACGTACACACAACGCATTTTTTAACGATGCGTTTAAATATCAAAAAGAAGTACACCATAAGCAAAGCAGTTAGTGCTGAACATGGGATGAGGGGGAAGGATGACGAAGGATAGTTTGATAGGAGGTATCATGTGGTTAATTGTAAGTTACTCTCAAGGCCCTAGCTCTCAATTTAGTGGTATGTTCTCAGGTAGTTATTGCATTATTTAAAGTAGCTGACTGAATGACTAAAGACCACGCACGAACCAATGATGAGGCTATGTCACAAACCAAATATCATGTTCATTCAATTCAATACACTTATACATGTAAGTTTTTTAAATGGAAAAAAGGACAGATGGATACAAGGAAGAAACCACCAAACGTTGAGAACTAAACAGAAATCACTCAACACTGTGGCTTACCTGTTGGTTGGGTGTTTGTGCACATCTATTCCTTTGTGTCCCTCAGGACTTTGCCCCCTTGTGCCAGTTCCAAAAGGTGGGCGTGCACATCCAGAAAAAATCTTCAGAATACACTAACTACTCAATTTTACAACCCATTCCTGGGCCCACACAATCTCTGAAATAAAAAAAGTGGCAGGGAGAGTTTGCTCTTGTTTTGCATCCAGTAGAAACAGAGGGGGAAAAAAAATGAATCCTTTCCTCATAGCAGTGAAAATGGGTGTTCTCAAGTTTTGGTGGTATAGTGATCACCTGGTGGCTTTTTAACATGCCCCTGCCTTAGACATTTATTTTCAGGTACCAGCATTTTTAACCATCATTCCAGATCATTCCGATTCAGGTAGTCTGAGGACCATGTTGTGGGAAATACTGGGTTAAAGAATGGAAATAAGAGGAGTGTTTGTATAGCTAAGGAAGTTGCCATTAAGGGGTCAGTAAATGGGGCAATTAAGAGCCAATTTTATTGTGAACATATAAAACCTTGTAAATTATGAGTCAATTAGGGAAATGACTCTCTTCCTTTTCATGTGTTTAATATGTATTATTTCTGAGAATTTGTATTGGTCCTTGGGAGAGGTGTGTGCATGTTTATTTTCTAACAGGTACCTCATGGACACTTAAAAGTATACTAGCACGTCTGCAAATCTTATCCTGACAATGAGACCTTAAAAAGGATTAGACTTGAACGCGTCTTCTGGAATGACATGCCAAGAGCACTGCACACCATCTGAAGCCAAGTCAACTAGACATGGCTGAACGTAATTTTTTCCCCTTTGTACCAAATATAATGGTGCAGAGTGACCCTTAATGTGGAAGGGAAAACTGGTACTTGGATTTCCAATAACATTAAAATATTCCCGAATTTATCTTTTTTTAATTAAATAAACCCAGTCATTCCAGGATTTTCTCATAGAAACCTATTTCCCAAGCATTGATTTTTTTTTTAATTCAAGGTTAATTATGTAGGAACTATAGTTTATACGTGGTAAATTGCATCCATGGTAAGCATATGGATTAACAGTGTCTTTCATATTTGACAAACATATATGAAGAGTACAGAAGTAGCCAGGACCTCTTCTTTCTGGTCTATGGCCAGTATATGTTTGATTCCAGGAGCCATGGTTATCAGGATAAACTATACGTTTTATGTAAAGTCTCAGAGAGGTAAGAATATTTGAGTTCTCTACAGATCTAAGTGGTGCTTCTGGAGTTTATATTCTGTACTATTCGGCTCTGGCTGCCGTAACAAAATACAATCGACTAGGTGGCTTAAACAACACCAATTTATTTTCTCACAGTTCTGGAAGCTGGAAGTCCAAGATCAGGCTAGAAGAAGCATGGCTGGTTTCTAGTGAGTCCCTCTTCCTGTCTTACATGCAGATGCTTTCTCACCGTGGCTTCACATGCTGTGGAGAGAGAGACAGCAAGCTCACTGGTATCTCTTCTAATGAGGGCACTAATCCCATCATGAAGCCCCCACCATCGTGACTTCACCTAAACTTAATTATCTCTCAAAAGCTCCATTTCCACATACCATTACACTGGGGGTTGGGGTTTCCACATACAAATTTATTGGCGACAGAGTCTACAGTGTACCCATGGAATGTATTTCTGGCTCAAATCTTCAGACCTATACTGGGTTTGGGAGGCTAGGGGCAAAGAATCTCCTACTTCTACAGAAAGCACTCAGAGAAACTCTTTGCCTATAATCAAGTCTTAATGGGGAAATGTGAGGATCAACTCTTTCTGTGGGCAACACAAGAGCTGGGTGTTTTTTTTTTTTTTTTACCCCCTTCTAGGTCAAAGGGTGTCAGGTTGAGACTTCACGTCACTCTTCAGTGTCATGACTGGGGTCAAGAGGCAAAGTTCTATCCTTCAGAAAGTCAAGGCCTTACCTGCCGTTGAGTCCACAGTCAGATGCATGACAACCTGAGGTTAATTTGATCATCTTTATTATAACCATTGAGGTCCTGATGCACCTGCTTTAAAAGAAGCAAGATGATGAATTTTTTCTGATATTCCAAGTTATAAAAATAAAGCTCAGAAAGTCAAGATGGCTCTGATGTATTAAAAAATAGGGGCACCTGCGTGGCTCAGTCGGTAAAGCATTTGGACTCTTAATTTCAGCTCAGGTCATGATCTCACCATTGTGAGATCGAGACCTGACTCAGGCTCTGAGCTGGGCTTGGTACAGCCAGCTTACGATTCTCTCTCAATCTGGGGCGTCCGGTGGCTCCATCAGTTAAGCGTCTGACCTCGACTCAGGTCATGATTTCATGGTTCATGAGTTCAAGCCCCATGTCAGGCTCTGTGCTGACAGCTTAGAGCCTGGAGCCTGCTTTAGATTCTGTCTCCCTCTCTCTCTCTCTGCCCCTCCCCACTCATGCTCTATCTCTCTCTCTCTGTCCTTCAATAATATGTAAACATTAAAAAAAAAATTTTCTCTCAATCTCCCTCTGCCCCTCGCCAACTTCCACCTGCTTAAGATTCTCTCTCCCTCTCTTTCTGCCCCTTCCCCACTTGCACGCGAGTGTGAGCTCTCTCTAAAAAAAAAAAAAAAAAAGAATAAAGCCTCTATAGTTGGTACTTTACATGTAGTTGGCCTTCCCAGGAAAATGTGAAAAGTTGTCACTGTTACCATGAACTGCGTTGGGATCCTCAAACAAAATTAACAATTTATTCAATAGAAAAAATATACAGTGAATAGACAAAATTCTAACTGAACCCTCAAACTGAGCCACTTTATCTCTACCAAATAATTATCATTAATAATAATGATCATAATAATGATCATTATTATTAAACAGGAAATCTGTAGCTTTGAAAAGAAAACCTAACAATTTCTCTCAAATCTTCTAATGTGATGGGATCCAAACATAAAGAATATTTTGAATGAAAAAGTTTGCCCCCAAAAATGCATGAGATCCTTTCATTGTGATTGTTTCCATGTGCCTTTCTGAGAGCTTCACAGGTCAAATCCAAGAATGATAGAAAACAGTCTTTTTTTTTTTTTTTTTAATGGCATGTTTGCATTAGATAGTCCTCCATTAGTTTTATATCTGATCTGGCTTGATTCTGGGTGTTATAACTAGGGAGTGCAGACTGACGTGGCCCCCCCCGAGAGGGAGCTGCCGCCAGTCAGGGGGAAGAGAAGCAGAACATTCTCTAACCTACCAGATGCTTAGCATAGGCAGTGAAACTCCAAATGAAAGGGCAGCAAAATGTTCTTATCTCCACCCCATAATGAAGTCATAAAAGTCTTGACTTTCCCTGATGTGTGGCCATGTGGTTTTAAACAGTGCATGAGTTTGGGTTTTCCTACAAGCAGACCTTGAGACAAAAACCTGGGGATGGATAGTTTGCTTTGGAGATAATCCCAAGAAGCAGAAGTGGGGAAGTGGGGAATCTGAGCCTGGGAAGTGAGAAAAAAAAAAAAAAAACAATAAGGAAGGAAACACCGCCCTCATGTGGGGTTTGTTTCCTTTCAAAGTACTTTGAAATGATTAAAGGCTAAATATGAACTCGAACACACTCCATGATTTATAATTTTTGTCTATCTTTCCTCCTAAAAATATTTCCATGCTGGACCTGTTGTTCCTATATCCATTAAGCATATCCATTGGACTGGTCTCCCACCCCAGCCTTTCCTGGAGTGTTTTATCTGGCTTGAAAGCTTATGACTGAGATGTAAGTCCGCGTGGTAAATACCAACCCAGAGGAGCTGTTTTAAAGTCCATCTGCACTATGCTGGAGGAGGAAAGGTGAGTCGGCCGGGCTCCCTGAAGGCCTGGAGGCACGCTGAGGTGACACAGGCATACTCATCGATGCCTTTGGCAAATATTTCTTGGATTCTTCCCACGTTTCTGCTTAGGATCAGCCCCTGCCAACAGCACAATGACAACACAGGGTGGTACGTGCTGTGTCATCAAGACGCACAGAGAGTGTGCTGGGATCACTGACAAGGGAGCAGTCGACTTTGTCCAGGGCAGCGCAGAAGGCCCCATAGTCCAGGAGATACGGAAAGAAAGGCATTTCCCAGACAGAGCGGGTAGACACCCCTTCCAGACAAAGAGCCGGCATTTGCAAAAGCCCAGGGTCTAGAGTGAGAACCAGCGAAAAAGAAAGGGAAGAAGGAAGACCAGAGGACAAAGAGAAGGGAACTGCTATGGAAGGAGATGAGGGAATTATAAAGGGATGTGGACATTATCTCCTAATCTGTGAGGGGGCCTTTGAAGAGATTTAAACAAACAGATTTGCACTCTATAAAGATCTCTAGGGGCGCCTGGGTGGCGCAGTCGGTTGGGCGTCCGACTTCAGCCAGGTCACGATCTCGCGGTCCGGGAGTTCGAGCCCCGCGTCAGGCTCTGGGCTGATGGCTCGGAGCCTGGAGCCTGTTTCCGATTCTGTGTCTCCCTCTCTCTCTGCCCCTCCCCCGTTCATGCTCTGTCTCTCTCTGTCCCAAAAATAAATAAACGTTGAAAAAAAAATTTTTTTTAAAAAGATCTCTAAGGTAGCTGCAGGGTTGAGAGCAAGGAGGTCCGTCCGGCGGTGGGGGAAGAGGGATTGGACGGTCGGTTTCCTTCACTGCTATGACAAACTGCCACAAATGTAGTGGCTTAAAACACAAATTTATTCTGTTAGACTCCTGGAGGTCAGAAGCCCACAGTGAATCCTACGAGGAGCCTTCTGTGGGCTCCAGGGTAGAGTCTGTTTCCTCGTCTCCTCCACTCTCAGAGACGACCTGCTTGGCTTGGCTCCTGGTCCAACTTCCTCCACCTTCAGAGTGCTTCACTCCAACCTCCAGATCGCATCCGACCTCGTCCTCCTTTGACCTGCTGGCTGCCCTCTTATTAGGACTCTTGCGATTACATAAGATTCAGTTGGATAATCTAGGAAATCTCCCCATCGCAAAATCCTTAATTTAGACACATCTGCAAAGTCCCTTTGGATGTAAGGCAATATTCACAGTTCCAGGCATTGGGACAGAATATCCCTGGGGGATCATTATTCAATCCACCACAATGATAGTTTCCAAATGAGAGACAAGTCAAATGAACCCCTAAAATACACGGGAATATCTTAAAGTAAGGGAGCTCCAGGGAGGAAGAAATTTTTTTAACGTTTATTTTATTTTTGAGAGAGAAGGAAGAGAGTGCGAGTGGGGGAGGAGCAGAGAGAGGGATACAGAGGATCCAAAGCAGGCTGTGTCTGTGCTGACAGCAACAAGCCCAAGGCAGGGCTTGAACTCATGAACTGTGGGATCATGACTTGAGCAGAAGTCAAATGCTCAACCAACTGAGCCACCCAGGAACCCTGGGAGGAAGAATATTATGTTTGATTTTTCTTTTTACCAATGCAGAATGAGGGACTTATTACAACCAAAAAACAAATGTGCTCAAATGAAAGGGATTAGTATCTTAGATGTTCTAGCTTTTTTTCTCTTCTTATCCAATGCTTTCTTTATGTGTGTGTGTTCATTATGTAAGCGCTGGGATTCCAGGACGGCACTGCCTACAAATCATGCAAAATGTAACAACATTCTCCCCCATGAGACTTTGTTAATAGCATTCAAGGTAAGTAATGTAGGGGAAACACAGTGATATGTAGGTAGTCAATTATTTCCCTTTGAGATCCTTGAGAGCACTAGTTGCCCTGATTCACATTTTTATCTCCCACAGAGTGGAGCACAAATTCAACACTAAACATTTGTTCAGCAACCCAGCGTGCCTTCCTTCTTCCTTCATTTTAACAGTGCTAGATTTTCGCACAGATACCCAACACACACACACACACACACACACACACACACACTGGTGTAGTCAATCAGTTTTCTGTTCCCTGGCCCACAGTCCATGGACCATTGGCCTAAGCTCTTCTCAGTACAGTGAATGCTGCATTAGAAGAGTTGTCCTGGTATGAAGACGTGAACCTAGAACTTCTACGGACATTTAACCAGCATGAGGAGAAATGTAATATCTCGATGGAGAGAAGCACATTGCTGAATCACCAAAAAAAAAAAAAAAAAACAACCCTAAAACACGCTCTTCCTCTGGATATTCCAGTTACGTGAGCCAATAAATCCTTTTTGTTCACCAAGCTAGTTTGAATTGGGTTTTCTATTTTGCAAGCTAACCTTTTCTAACAGGTACATATATATTCCTTGCTGAACGTGAACGAATAAATGAATAGCAAGAAAAACCACTTAATTACAACATTTCTTCTTAATGCTACTTAGAACATTTGAGTGTTGATATCATCAAAATGCCTGCTTTTTTCTCTGGGCTTTTCATAACTAGGAAAATATGGTTACATAATTTTAGAATGACATGGGTCGAATAGAGATCTACAGATGTGGTTTTCTAGATGGAGAGCTTGAAGGGCAGCAATCCCAAGTAGATTGCTGAGAATTAGGGTCCTGGTCTTGGAGGAGATTTTGCAAGCTAAGCACCTCGGTTTCCCCTAGCTTAACTGAGTTTGGAGGTTGCCTTTGAGGGACTGACGGAGATGATGAGGGTGTCAAGGCCACTCTCTGATGCCTCTAGTGGCTCAAAGATTGCTCCTTATTCCCTTTCAAACATCATTTAGTGTAATGTAATATTAAATAAGGAAAGGGTAAAATCAGTTGCAGAACTGAAAAAGAATCCAGTCCCCAGGTCACTTATAATTACGTTGAAACGGCAACTAAGGGAAAGTACCTTAAAGGAGGGAGAAGGAACAGGGTGGGATTCCACCCTCTGTCCCCCAGTCCTTCTCCCATCACCAATTCAATTTACTGCCCTCCGTTTCTGTGAACATCCCTGTGGGCAGAGAACTGAGCATTTTTGAGTCCTGTAAAATAACACAACTGGGGGGAGCCTGGGTGGCTCAGTCGGTTAAGCATCTGACTCTTGACTTAGCTCAAGTCATGATCTCACAGTTCGTAGGATCGAGTTCCGAGTCAGGCTCGGCGCTGACAGCATGGAGCCTGCATGGGATTCTCAGTCTCTCTTTCTGCCCCTCCCACACTCATACTCGCACTCAAAGGAGCCTGTCTCTCTCTCTCTCTCTCTTTCAATAAATAAACTAAAAAGAAAAAAAATAGAATTGGCCTAAACCACCTACTTGGTGACCTAAGAAAGCCCTCCAAATTTAAACTTTTTTCTCCAGATTCTTACCTATTCTGCTACTCCTCCTGATTTGTCAGTTTGTCTTACTCTAGCGACTCTCAGAAGAAAGTGCGAAATATAGTCCACCCCACCCTGGGCTGATTCATGGCTCTTTGTATTTGTGCATATGTCATGAGATCAGCCTGTCAAAGTAATTGCTGGAATTTTGACTGGGATTGCTGAATCTATGTATCACTTTGGGGAGAATTGACATACATCTAGTATGCCTCCATTTAGACAAATTGAAAGCTCAGAAAAACTAATTGATAGTGTTTAGATATTGACAAATATCTAATTCTGCCTCTTGCTAGTTGTTGCATTGGTCTTGGATACATTAGTCAGTCTCTCTCTCCTCTCTCTCTCTCTCTCTCTCTTTCTCTCTCTCTCCCTGGCCCGATCCGTTTTCCCATTTGTAAAACGGAGCTCGTACCTGTATTACAGGCTTGTTGCTTCTTACAACATAGCGAACAGTACACAGTCCAGCGCTCAGCACATGCCAGAGAATCAAAAAACGCTGGTTTCCTTCCCCTTCCCCAACCAGCTTTAGTACAATCAGCCAGAGAGGAGAGGACAACCTCTATGAGGGTTACGTATGCCAGAGTCCCCGGTCCGTAGCCTTGGACTTGCACTCTGTCCTGTACGAAAGGAATGTTGACTGGACAGTGAGGTTATCTCCTGCTCTTTCTGGAAATAGTGACCTCTGTTAGTTTCATCACCGAGGTGTAGGGCAAAGTGAAACTCGTTCAATAGTGCTTATCTCTAAACCAGCTTTCCGCCAGAATCACCAACTGCCAATGGGCTTTCTCCCCGCCCCCTTCTCTCTGTCCTTGGCTCTAGAGAAAGTCAACAGGTAGCCTTTGACCCCTGGTGGCAGGCACTGCCAGATTGTATCAAACGCGGGTAGAGTTTTTTTTAAAAATGCGTTCTGAATTCACAGCACTTTAAAATAATGCCACAGAGCACCTGTATGTCCGTCTCAGCTTTTAGGACTTAGTTATCAACATTAGCCCCTTAATAATAAAAATTAAAACAACAATATTTAAGATATTTTGACTGATTGCTATACATGCCAAGCGTTTTGCTTAGCACTTCATGTGTTATTTTATTGATGCCTCACATGATAATAAGTATTATTTTTATTCCCCGTTTCATAGATCAGTAAACCAGATCTTACCCAGTGTCCCGTAGCTAGTTAATTGTGGAGACCCTTGTTGTATATCTAAATTTGTGTACTGACAAGTTTCAGACTGAAATAGTGGATGTGCATACACACTCATGCGTACAAACTGGCTCATATGCCATAGCTTCTCTTTCTGCATTGAATGACGGTCACAAACGTGGTATGTTCTCCAACCTGTGTAATTTTTTTTTTTTTTTTGACTGATGACCACATATATCAGAGCACTAACAAATCACCATGTGGAGGTCCCTGCTCAGACTGGCTCAATGAGTATTAATTTCTCGTGGAAAGATGAGATGATAGAGGAAGACGAGCACACATCTTACAGCCCTAGTTATCACAAGTGCATTTTATAGCCAAATCGTTCCACATCTGAAGGAAAGAAACTTACCACCTGTGCACAAAAGTCGTTGCTGGTTGAGAGCTAGAAAAAGCAATTGTCTGTGGTCACAAGAAATACCTGACTGAAAGCCAATCAGGCCCTCTGCTGCAAAATTTGGAACTGGAACAAAGAGCAGTTCGGGTTTCTCTGTTTAGCCAGAAATTTCACACATAAACTTGGGGGCTGTGAGGGAGCAATGCACCCCGCCCAATGCCCAGAAAGGCAGAGAAAACTGTTCACCAGAGAAAGAGCAATGAAACAGTGTGCAAAGAGAAGTAGAAAAACGAGGTTATGAGAAATAACTCTGACGGCTTGGTGGCTCCCCCATCCAGCCCCTCCTGGAACTCACTGCATTCCTGTCCTGGGTTCCTCAAATGTCCCGTTATGCTTTTCATTCATATCCATAGGTAGTTGGTTGGCTTTTGTCTTAAAGAAGTTTAAGTGTGGAAGAGGGGTTTAACAAGGACCCCCCCCCTTCTCCTACAGTAAAGCTTGGAGAGTTTTCATTTGTCAATCCTTCCAGCAGAGCCTCTGAGCTTCCCTCAGTGACTATCCCTGTTACGGTTCCTCTTGCTCTACTCAGAGCTTCTTTCTAGCTCCACCTGTGCTCTTCATAACATTTCTCACCAGCTCTGCCCTGTAGCCCTAATCCCAGACTTACCATATGGTTCCCATCCTTACAATAACAAGACAGGCACCAGAACCTGCCCCTTAAAAACAACCAAAAAGCATACTCCTCCAGATCACAAGTGGCATGACATAGCCACAGGCTCTTTTCCAAAAATGAACTTGAGGGCTCGAGTGTGTTATGAGACACGCACCAAGGGAATTGGACAGAATGAAGGAAATGTAGACCAGATGCAATCTGGAGTCACCTGGGCAATTTTTAAAATCACGACGCCACGGTCCCACCCCCAGGGACTCTGATGGAATCGGTGTGGGGCCCTGGCATCAGGATTTTCAAAATTTCTCGGCCTCTCACGTGATTGTAATGAGCAGCCACAGCGGAGGACCCCTGATGTACAGGAGAAACATGGGTTTTAGGAAAAGGTAAGGGTGATGAGAATTATGCTGTCTAAAGGTTTCATCCTCCAGAGCATCTAGTGTTAAGTAATGCCCATCTATGAAGCACCTGCTGTGTGCCAGAAACTGTGTTTACAATTATTATGTCCATGCATCACAGCGTCCCTGGAGTTTCTCTAGCTGAGGGAGCCAAAGCTGAAGAGGTGAAGTAATTCCACCAAGGACGGACTCCTAGGTCACAGAATTTGTATCTTCCCTGATAACACCAGTCGTTCTGACCTTAGTGGCATCCAAGTCACTAGGGGCACTTGCTAACAACACATTCCTGCCCCTATTCAACAGGGATTAAATTCAACAGGTTTGGACTGGTTTAAGCCTTTCCCCCAAAAGCACGCCAGCTCAGTCTGACGCACACAGTTCACAGACAGCTTTTGACAAAGAGTTCCCCAATTACACCGTTTCCTCTAGCATGGACACCCCACTACTGGGACTCCCAATATAGTAGTTGCTCAAGAAAAATTACCAGAGGGAAAGAGGAAGAGAGGGAGAAAGGAAGGATAAACTTGGCACTAGAGTAATAATTGAGTGATAATAACTGAGTAATAATTATTCATTAACTGAGTATCAATTGAGATGACGGTGAGAAAATAGTTAGAAATATTAAGGGATACACTTCACGTATTTGTGGGCTTGTCGGCTTTCTTCCTTTTTGATGTCAAAGAGCTAAAACGAGAAACCCTGAAAGTTGGGGGTATAGTGGCAGAGATGGGGAAAAGCCAGCCTGGGAAGCAGGCGGGGTGAATATATTCTCCTGCAGAACCACCAAGGTGGTCCACATAGCAGCAGCAGAGGCATCCAGGCCCCGGAGACAGTGCTCAGGAGCACAGAGGTGCTTTCTTGCCCACACACCTTCTCTATTTAACTTGACTCTGACAGCCATGGGTAAAAACATCCATTAACACACATAAAACTGCAGAAGGTCAAGCCGACGATTTCAGGTCTGCTTGATAAAACGGTACCGTCCAGCAAGAAGGATTCCAGACTTAAACCAAAAGTCATAGGCCAAGTGCAAGAACAAAATAGGCTTGGGGATTAAATGACCCTTCCTGCACAAGCGGAAGAAAATCACTCCGTGTTACATATGTACCATTGCCCCTCAAATCTCTGTATTGAAAAAGCAATCGTTACCTAGCCCCAGTGGCACATGATATTTTATCTAACCACATTTGTGGCCAGTGAAGGAATCTGGACAGTCCCTCGGAGCCTGTTCACTGCCAAGGGCAGGACTATATTGTAATACTGACAAAGGGCCAAGCCACAACTCTTCCCCCTCCTTCCTTCTCCTCAGCCCTCCACCTCACCATAAATTGCCTGTCAGCCCCAGTGAAAACAGCTGAACTGGGACCCAGAGATAAAACTTCAGTGAACATTTCCTCTTTCAACCAAACATGTTTGGACACGACTGGCCGATCATGGACTGGCGATGTGTGTTTGTTGAATGAATGAATGAGTGAGTGAAAGGATCCATTAACCTACAAATCAGTGTAAACAATGTTACAGAACGGGAAAGAGATAAATCCTTGGCACCGACGCAGAAATTCTATAGTAGTTGCTCAATAAATGAGTGTCAAATGACAGTGAAGAAAGTACTCTTGGAGACACTGACCAGGTGAAGCATATTTATTTGGAACCCCAGGGGCATGTTTCAAAAATTTGCCTAATACTAAGAAGCGTCTGGTGTTTTTATTAAAAATACAAATTCCCCAGGCTCCTGCCGTGGAGATTCTATTTCTGCAGATCTCCTGCAGGGTCTGGAAATGTCTGTTTGTAAAATTCCTAAATACCCTAGGGCCACGGTGTTAAGGTAGTTTGGTGTTTTTCTTCAGTTCAGTGGAGTTTGACTTTCTCATTCATTCAGCAAACATTTATTGAGTTTCTACTGCATACCAGGCAGAGAGTCCTGTACTAGCACATACGGCATGACCAAGAAAGACAAGATCCCCGACCTCATAGGCCCTACCCCAAGGGAGCTTTGAAGCGCATTCGATGAAACAAGGTAACAACTCAAGAGCATCTGAGACCAACACAGACACGCAAAAATGGTCTGGCCTACGAGAAAGGGGAGACGATAAACAGAAAGAAAAACTCTGAAAAGGATTGAAATTCCAAGTTTAGGAAGAGGCTGGAATTTGTGCGAAGGCACCCGCGCCAGCACCCAGGGTGGGAGGCGGGAGAAAAGCAGCATTGCAGTGGTTTCCTGGGGGTCACTTCAGTGACAAGAAGTAACAGGGTGGCTGGGGCTGACACTCTTGTCTGACATCCAGAACAGGAATGTGTCTCTCTCCCTGGGGCCGATGGGATCTGACTCAGAAAAGACTTCAGAAAATAAATGCTGTAATTACCGCGCCAGATGAGTGAAGGTTTCGTTGGTTTTTGAAGGGCATGTGCCGTGAAGGTCTCCTCAGGGAGCCATGCACAGCCTGGGTGGGACCGTGCGCATCTCCATCCGATCCCCCGCAGAAGGTAAATGTGTCACAGGGCCAAAGGACCGGGAAGCACCCATTTTGGAGGATCGGGAGAACGAACTAGAATTCTGGCCATTCCACTTATTCGTTGTATTAGGTCAAGGTCACTACGAGCCTGTTGTCTTGTCCCTCCGGGTCATCGTGGACATTTTACGTCACCGCATTTGTGGTCAATAAAGGCATCACAAAATGCAGAAGAAGCGATTAGCGGAATCACTTTTGGGCAATTGTTGTTATTATTTTCATAGGTGTGCGAAAAGGATAGAAATAGACGTAGGTCTTTATGGACATCAGTTTCTGTGGCTCTTATCGTGATGGGTTCCCTACCTATGGAATCCTGGAAGCGTCTAGGTTTTCCACATAAAAAACATTTGTTAAAACTTTCCTCATTTGAGGGGCGCCTGGGTGGCGCAGTCGGTTAAGCGCCCGACTTCAGCTCAGGTCATGATCTCACAGCTCATGGGTTTGA